GTTGTGTGCCGGTGTCAGCACTGCTGCTCTGAGCAAAAATTCTGTCAAGAGGTCAGAGAGGTCGTGTCTGGATCAAATCTGTGTCCCGCTAAAACTGACATGCACCAACAGCAGAGCTGTCAGGATGCCAGTTTTGGCACCGCTGTCAGTCAGCACACAGCACCAGAGCCAGATATGGGCCGGTCCTGCAGGTCAGCATCGGCCCCACCGATCTGACACGTCAACCGTTTGGACAGCTGCTGTGTGTTCAACCAGCACATTGTGGGGAGTTAATTTCAGGCTGCAGGGCTTTTGTCATGTCTGGATATTTTAATCTGTCGTGGAGCTATAATGAAGGTTCTGCTCATTGGCAGGATTGTTTTGGGTTTTAACATTGAAGAGGTTTGATTGAACCACGTATGCATTTCTTAACCTTTTGCAAACTTTATTTTGTTGTAGATTCAGTTATTTTTCTCATCAATCTACACGTTGATAAAAGTGAAAACTGTTTTTTAGAATTTTTTCAAATTGATCAAAAATCCCAAATCAAATTTTACTAAATGTTTTCCGACCCTTAGTTCAGCACTTTGTTAAAGCCTCTCTGTCAGGCTCTATGGCTTTGAGTCTTCTTTGGTGCGATTTGCACACCTGGATATCAGGAGGTTTATTCCATTTTTCCTGACAGATCCTCTCAAGCTCTGTCGGCTCGGATGCGAAGGCGCCATGAGCTGCCATCTTCAGTTTTCTTCGCAGCTGTGGAGATTCTACGGGTTTAAGCCCGGGCTGACTCGAGGACGGTCACATCTCTGCAGGCTTCGGACAAACACGGCGCTGAAGGTTGTGTGCACCTGGGTTTTCCTGTAAGACCTCTCTGTGTTGGACTGGGTGGCATGAGTGCACTTTGAAAATTAAAAAATGTGAAAATCAGGGCCGCCTCCAGATGTAATCAGAATCTGAGAGACCAGTTAAAGTTTCTGAATTCACCCCTTTAGCAGGAAGACAGCGGTGCTGGCGTAGCCTCTGAAGTAGCTGCAGGATGAGAAGCAGCAGACAGAGCGAGGGCTGCAGCAGGGCGTCTCAGTGGAGATCTGCTGGCTGAGCTGCTTCAGACGCAGGACGGCACGTTTGATAGTGTGCCCAAGTTAAAACACTGACAGTCAAAGCTCAGAGTTATATATATATATTAAAAAAGTTGGCACTGTTGCATTAAAAAAACTTGTGAAGAAGTAAAAAAGAACAAAGTTGACAAAGACAAAAGTCCATGTTGTTGAGGGAAAACAAAGACACTCATGTTATAAGCAAAGCCATATTTAAGACGTGAAACACCCGACAGTTAACAAAGAACAGCCTGCGTTGTGTTTCAGTGACTTTCAGGAAGTTTTGGAGTTAAATTTAAATCCTCTGACATCATTTTTAAACATCTAGATCTGGTTGTTGGATGGATGTCACGCTGACAGGTCTATAAAACGTTAAATATGTTTGTCCTGTACTGTTACTGAGATAATTATAAAGGATCTAAACTCTAACATCTGGTGTTAAATGACAGCAAACATCTAATTTAACTGAGAACACGAGCACATCTAGTTTATCACCTATAAGAAACATAAGACTTAAGGATGACATGTGCTTGTGATAAAGTCTCTCTGTGGCTTTTACGGCAGCGTTGGTCCGTTGGTCAACATGTCTGACGTCATCATCAGTTCCTTTGAAGGAAGGAGACATCCTGTTGTCTCCAAGAACGTCTTAAATGGTGTCCAACCAGTGCTACCTGGTTTCCCAGTGCAGATGTTCCATTGTAGAAAGTGTTGGGTTCGCTGTCTTCTCAACATGTCTGTGAAGGTTCTCAGTCATCCAGGTTGTTCTGGTAGATTAATCGAGTTCCTTGAAGACGTTCCACCTCTCATCCAAGAGGCTTCATCAGCTCTGACTGACTGGTTGGGAGTTCCAAGGAGCCTTTAAGGAGCCTTTAAGGAGTCTTCTCAGATGGTCTCCTACATAAAGTCCAGCTGTGAGAACGTGTCCTGGGGTTTGATGTGCTCCTCACACGGTAAACTGCTGCTTGACTCCTTGGTACTCCACCACTGCATTCATCCTCAGCTCTGTTCTAACAGCGTCTGCTTGAAGGTCTGCTCACAAAGCTACAGTTTTCATCTCATCAGTTCACAGAATCTTCTCCTCATGCTCTCAGGTTCTGTTCGGCAAACTTCAAAAGGGCTTACTCTAAAGTACATCCTGTCTCGCCACTCGACTATAAAGGCCGTCCTGATGGAGTGGAAGTAACGTTCTCTCAGCGCCTTCATCATCTCTGCAGAGGACCGTTGAAGCTCTGTTGGCATTGTGCTCCTGTTTCCCTGATAAACTGAGGACACACTCGCTCTGAGAACCGTCCCGGTGATTCTTTAGTCTTCACCACTATGAGGTGTGCTCCTGGGAACGCTAACAGCTTTAGAAATAGATCTACACTCTGCTCTGATCGAGGGCTCGCCTCATGTCTACCACAGACGTCTCTCAGGGCTTCATGGCTCAGTTTAGTCCTGACATGCAGTTTAACTTGTGTGCAGAGATGTGTGCTTTCTATTCAATGTGATGAACTCCAACCAAGTTCTACACACACTTCATGGACAATTAAAGCAAAATAAAGATGGACTTGGCCCCAATTTGGATAGAAAAGACCCAAAAACATGTTTTATATGCTATTGATTGTAGATTGTTGGGAAGTTCAATTGGAAGAACTATTCGTAGCTGTCAGTAAATATAAGCTTTCTGCAGACATGTACAGGAACACACACCATGCAGCCAGTCAGCAAACACAGCTTTGAGGATATGATGATTTGTGAGTGGGCTAGCAGTGCCGACGTGTCTGCGTGTGCTGATGTATGTGCGTATAAATACCACCTAGCATGTGTAAGCATATGGAATTAGTGCATATGTATAAGCACATTTGTGTTGATTTGCATGGATCCTGAGGGCTATTTTAACGCCGCAGCAATCTTCAAAGCGTATCCAGCTGGTCTGTGGGGGTTTCAGCGCTCGGATTGCAACCAACTTTTATATTCTAGTGTGCGCCGTTTTCCATCATCATCACAGTCTCTGGGGAACTGGAGAAAAAAAACAACAACTCCTCAAAGGGTTCTTTACAAAATACAAACTGTATGTCTTGTTTAGAGCGAGAGCAGGAAGAAATATTACAGTTCTGTATTTCACAACGGACAGTCAAGGAATTAGAATATATTCTCTCATGACAGAGGACCAGCATCGTCTGAGGGTCCCACACACATGAAGAACACATTAAAGAACTCTTATACATAACCCGCCTTATCCTGAATTAAGGAGAAACAGTTATTACAAACTCTAGCGATTCAAATAAGAAGCCCAACAGAGCAGGGACGCTCATATTTTTTTTAAAAGATAATTATTTGTAAGAGAAAACAATGATGATTTAAAACTCTGTCGCTGTTCACAGTCTGCCACCTGGTTTAACATGAACCTCCAATCAACGTTTCATGTGCGTTTGCATTCAGGTTTACCTCAAAAATCGTACATTAGTGGCGCTCTGGACTGTATACGAGGCCTGAGAACAAACCTGAGTGACCCACAAGACAAGAACATGTATAATTCTGCTTCACTTTAAAAAAACATAAAATCTCTAAATTGATCTTTTATGATGAATGCTTTCTTTAAACCTGCAGTAGTCACTCTGATCAAGCTGTACGTCTTAATATGCATCGTCAGCGCGCTGCGAGGCCAGAACGTGTCAGTTAGTATCGGTATTAAAACATTAAATATAAAACTATTGACTTGTTCTCATGTACTATTCCCGAGGTTCAGCAGTTATTGGTGAACAGAGCGTCAGCATTACTAGAGATGAAACATACAGATGAAGCTCATTAATTAGTCAGAAACTGTCCTTCTCCTTGAAGGAGCTTCTCAGCCCGTTAGAACTGTTCCACTGCTTCGACTTTCACTGAGGACTTTGCTGCCCCGGGATGTAGCTGCTTCACTGCTCAGACGATCTGACATCAGGCGGGGGAGCAGCGTGCTGCTAACACCGCTGACTTTTCACCTTTTCCTTCACAGGTTACATTCAGAGCAGAGGACGGCAAACCAATGGCCATCTGCCAAGTGACCGTGGAGCCGACGCCCCACGTCGTGGACCAGACTTTCCGACTTTACCACCCTGAGCTTTGTTTCCTTAAGAAGGCCATCCGCCTGCCGCCGTGGCACGACCCCACAGGTTGTACAGGTCACCCCAGACATCCCCCATCAGCTCTCACAGCTCCTGATCAGACTCCACCGACTGGGCTCAGATTGACTGGTTCTGTCCCAGATTTATTACACTTTATTAATTTGCAGTTTTAGTATTGGTTTAATGAATACCTTCTGCATGCACACTGCACTGATTTACCCACAGTATGATCCTAAATGTGTGTGTAGTGCACAAACACAACAACATGTTCACACAGCAGTGGAATAGAAGGATGTGCTTCAGTTTATTGTGCTTTTACTCAAATATCAATGGAGACAATCTTCTGACATAATACAGCTTCTATCACAGAAAAGGGTAATAACAACGTGGAAGTATCTGGAAATAAAGCAGGAAATGAAAAGCAAGAAAAAAGTAATGGACAAAATGAGGAAAATGTCTCAGCATGTACAGGACGTGGGCGTGTTAGCGTGTGTGTGAGCATGTTGCTAAAACACACCCTCCAGTTCCAATCTTTACTGTCGGTATCTCCCCTTTCTCTTTTTTCTCCCTCTATACGTTCCCTCGGTGACCCAGTTGGAGACCGGGATGCCAGGACCACCATCTCTGTGCGCTGCAGTGACCCGAACATCATCTGCCAGACGAGGATGCTGGTGAGAGAACGAGATGATCGTCTCAGATGTTTCAGATCCTGCGACACATAACCCACATGAACATTACCAGGGGATTAATTACTGAAGTGATAACTGTTCAGGAGGAAGCACGCGTTCCCGACTCTGCTGTCATGAATTTCAAGTTGTTTTAACAGACCTTGTACCTTTAAAGTGCTAATGTGCTTTTGTTTGTGCCTCTCTTTGTCTTTGACCCGTCCGTTTTAACATCTTCATGCCTTTCGCTCTGCTTCTGTCCAGGTGCCAGGGGAGCCTCAGGATGTGTACTTGAAAGTGCCGGGGAGTCCCAGTCCACACATAAAAATGTTCTTTGTGATGGTTTTCACGTATGTATTATTTACCGAGCAGGCCGCTGAGCTCAAACACACACACGGCTTAGCCTGAAGAACAATTCTATTTTGGACTAATTAAATCTTTCACGCAAGCTTGAATTAATTAACTAATCAGATGGAGGTCTGGTGGTCTGACTGCATGAAGTTGCAGAATCCATCCTCTAGTTTTCCAAATCTCTATTTTGATTATGAGCCTGTTTTAAAAATGTGCACGGCCAACGTTTGCCTCTGATGAACTGCCAGGACTTTATCATTCAACCCTAATGGGCACGATGAAGATTGTTTTTCCTGGAACTTTGTTTGTATGTTTGAGGCCTGACAAATTTATCACCTTCTTTAATAAACATTTTTTAGCAACTGTCTATCTGTCAGTGCACATGGATGTGGATTTAATCATGCATGTGCTCATTCACACGCAAATACAGTCATAACTGGATAATCAGACCCTTAACAATCCTAAACCTGCTATCCGACAGGTTTGTAGGAAAAACCAACAGAACCCATAAAAACAGCCTTAACATAGCGACAGCCTTGGATTGTGACTCCGACATGACATTTAATGTCACCAATCAGGATGACGGCGTATTATCTGACTGAACAATCCCACAGATTGGCTACGTTCACACTGCAGGACTTGATGCTCAATGAGGATTTCTTTGTGACTTCCTTCACGTTTCCACTTCAATGCGACTTGTATGTGATCTGCTGTGTGAACTTCATACGAGCCAAAAGTGTCCCGCATGCGCAGAAGAGGACACGACGACGTCACACGCAGCGAGCGTGCTCAGTGTTTATGGAAGTAAACATGGATGGTAACGGTGGAGCGTATCTGCCACTCCCCCGCCGCCACCGATGGAGGAAACAGAAGTGTGAGCGCTAACTAAACTAGCATCAGCAGCCAAGTACTGCCTGTGTGTTCTGGACACTTCCACCCCGTCAGAGCGCTGCCCCGGGGTGGAAGTGGTCAGAACGTGCACAAGCACACCGGTCAGTGAGGCTGAAGTCCAGGGATGCGTATTGTTCTAACAACACACTAGTTATTATAACAACTATGAACAATAATGAACAACTAATGAGCCTTCCAGCATCTATCTATCTGACATAGAAGAAGGTTTTAGTGTCAGATCATCGAGTCACGACTGGACTTCCTTTAGTACAAGATACAAACAAAACAAGGACCTGCTGTTTTTAACAGAGCACTATTACTGATAAATAGTTTATGAGAAACCATCTCAACCTCCAAAAACCCACCAGCAGGTATGAAAAGTGTGTTGTCTTTTTAAAATCACCAGAATACATCATGTATCAGAGCCAGAAACTGTGAAAGCAGAAGAACCACCAGATTTCCAGTCCTTGAACTCATCATGTGACTCGTGGTGTCATCAGCAAAATAACCAAATTTATTCTTAAAATTCTGATTTTTCAGCAAAATCATTTTATTCAATGTGTCTCAATTTAAATGGTCTCAAATTTATGGTTTTTGGTGCAGCTGAGAAGCTCTGACTGACTCAGCTGCAATCAAACGTCATGTTTCAGTAATTCAGGGACTTTTTCAGCTTAATTTCCGGCAGTATTTACACAGAGCAGACACTGGACAAGTATGGTTCAGATAGAAATGTGAGCAGTAAAACATCTACACCTCATGTGGGCCTTAGCATTAGTATTTGATGCAGGACTCTTCTTGGATATTTAGCTTTTGTAAATCCTTGTAAATCCATAACAGTTTAGCAGTGAATCAGATTATCAGCATCAGGTGACGTGCAGTGAATCTGTGAGTTTTGTGGTCTGGTTCCAGAAAACACTGCATGAGAACAACAGGAAGTGACTGTACCACACCTGAATGCCTGATCAGTGTGCCTTTTGTGCAACTTGTCAGCAGCTTCAAACATCACTGATGTTGTGTCTGCAAAACGGCTTGAATTCTGTTCCACATATCCCCAAATGCTCCTTCGGTGTTGTTGTCTCAGAGCAGAGCTGAGTAGGTGACTGCATCGCCTCCCACTCGTGGAGTCAGCCAGGGCCACTGAGACTAAACTGCCTTCATCTCAGCAGTGAGAGGATGACGACGATGGTTCTGCTTATTAAAATGCTGGCCCAGCAATAGATCAGCGCTCCTCGTCGCCAGCCTCATGCTGCAGCCACCGTGTCTCCAGGGTTCCTTCGCTTAATTGTTCCTGATGATGTTTTCCTCCGCAGTGATAAGTGGATGGCGGCGCCCTCCCAGATCTGGCAGATTTACGTGCATTTCCTGGAGCGGGTGGACGTCAGCTGTGTGACCGGCCAGCGGAGCTGTCAGTCGCTGGTTCTGAGAGGGAAGCAGGCTGTTCGCAAGGTCAAGTGTTTTTCATCACATCCCAAGGAGAGCGAGGTACACCTCAATCCTCTGTCTGAGTTTGTTCATCATATACATGATAGCTTAATAACTACTAAACACTGTGTTAAAATTCACCCATTCATGCACCAGTGGCCACAGAGCTCCATGCAAGGTGCTGCCTGCCATTGGGAACAACTCTGAGTTCAGTGTCTTGCCCAAGGACACTCGGGCACGCAGCGGGACGAGGGATCAAACTGATTAGTGGACAATCCCTCTAAGACCTGAACCACAGCCGTCTAGGAATATATACTGACACAGAAATGAACTCTCGGCAGTGGGGAAAGCTTCACAGGTTGACTTGGACCCAACCAGAAAGATTAAAAAGCTAACTGTCTGAGTCAGGGAGGCTCTGGTCGGATCGCTCTGGGTCTCAGTTCAGTGTCACAATATGTCTTAAGCCCAAGTGGACACAAACAGAACCTCCACTGGCTCACATCTAGACTGAGTCAGAATGATTGCAGCAGAAAGTTTTTGTTTTGTAGAAGAAAACTACCATGAATTGCTGCTTTTTTGGACAGCAGCTCCCCTTTAGTTTGTGCCTCTGCCAGTGTTTATGTGCTCTCTCTCTCTCTCTCTCTGTTGTGTTTGGGCTGCCCGGGTCAGCTCGATTCTGAATTAGGTCTTGTTTCCCTCCAGCCTGTTTGGATCGAGCCAGTAGGTTGCTTTAGGATCAGGCGTTTTGTGTTGAGAGTAAACGTATGCACACTCGGGTGATTTGTTCACGGTTTCATTTTGGATTTTAAACACATGAAAGTTTCATTAAATTCTTCGTGACCTGCAGGGAATGCTCACAGTTAGCATATCTTCTATGTTCCTCACTGTGTTTCCACCGAGCCAATCACACATTAGAGGGGGTGGGACTCCTAGACCGGGGGTCTCCAATCCTGGTCCTGGAGGGCCACAGTCCTTCATGTTGTAGATGTTTCCCTCTTCCTGATTCAAATGATCAGCTCATCATCAAGCTCTGCAGACGTCTGATAACCATCCTGATCATTTGAATGTTGGAATAATAATTCGTATTAATTACATATTTAGGTCAACTTATGGGATCTTGATAAATGGAGAAGGGTTTACTAACTGACCAGACAGAGGCTTTAAACTGGAACGTTCAAGCTAAAACAAGCTTTTTTAATTCTCCTGCTATATTATTTTTTTCCTGTTGTAGCAGTTCATTTTTCACTTAACCACCTTTAATGGAAAAAATAAAAAAACCTGCTTCTTTGTTAACTGGACAAACGCAGACGGGAAGAAACATACAGAACAAAGGAACAGTCTCAGATCTTCAGCATCTAATGGGCTGAGAGCTGTGGTCTTGACAAATTTCTTTCGGTATTCGCAATTTTCAGACGGCGCTTTCAAGACGATGTTATGCAAATTGTTCTCCGAGCAGCAGGAAACAATGGAGCGGCAACAGGCTCCTTTGTTATAACCCCAGGTTAAGACTGGAGTCATTATCGGGAATATACAAACGCGGATTGACGGCATAATGAGTCTTTTCATGTCGTTTCATTTCATTTTATTAGGTTCCCTCATTACTTCCTAAAAATCATGTCGGATCATGTCAGGACATGATTTGACACAATTTTAAAAAATTAGCAAAGACCGTGTGCGCTCTGAACACATGAGAGTGTGTAGCAGGAGTGTCAGATCGCCCTCCATTTTTAATAGATCATTCCTTATTCATGGCTGAGTACAAGGACGGAGAGAGTTTGACAGTCGTCCTCACACAGAGCTGCAGGAAAACCGAATCTCATATCGCTCACCCATATTAAAAACACAAGTGATTGAGTGTCACAGCTACCGTGGGTGCACACGGTGCGACCCAAACATGTTGCTCCTGTGGGGAGCAGGCTACTGGCTGGAAAAAACCACAGATGTATTTTTAAAAGATTTCACCATATGCATCAGCGGCGCTTTGATCTGACTCTCGGCAGGTTAGCTGGCTGTGGAATGCACTGGAGGAGTCTTATAAAACAGGATAAAGCTCAGCGTCAGAGAATAGCTTCGCTTTTCTCAACAGATTGAAAAGGAGCTGCGCCGTAAATCTCATTCTCCCGTCCTTATGTCTGTCACTTCTCTGCATCTCCTTTCTCTCCTTTCATTGTCTGCCCTCTCTCGTCGCCGTTCTCACTAAACCTTTTTCATCCTTTCTCTCAGCCACTCTTCTGTAATTTGTACACTTCCTTGACTTTCTTCTGACTCTGTTAGACCTTTTTTTTCCCAATAACTCTGTCCTTTTTCACATCTTCCTACTGAACGCATCGTTTCTCCTCTACAGTCCGTCTCTTGGTCAGTCCTCCTTTCTCCCTGTACTGTGCCAGCGTCATCCCTTCCCCTTACTGCTGGCTAATCAGCTGTCCACACCTTCTCTGTAGGTGGACCCAGCAGGTGTGTTCGTGTTGCCTCCTGCAGCGGTGCAGGAGCTCCAGCTGAAGGTGCAGCCATGGCAGGCCGGCAGCCGCTTCCTGTACGTGAACGCCGTGGACGTGGAGCACCAGCGGCTGGTCACTGCCTGGCTGCTCTGTCTCAACGTGCACCGCCCCGTGCTGTCCAAGGTATTGTTTTATTTAGATATAAATGTGGAGCTAAGTGTTTTTTACATCTTCAGCATGTCCATCATCTACCAGCTGATGTCTGGGTCACTTCCCATTTCTTCACTAGCAGACCAAAGGCTGGAGACTCACACACAGGCTCATCACTGGATGTCTGTTGTGTAGGAATGATCAACAGCTTCATTCCAGCAGCTGTCAGAACGCTGAACTGCTGATCCAGAGATGCAAACAGTTGTTTATTTAAATTGCTTTACGTTATTGGATCCTGAAGAAACGCTCTCTCCTCTTGTCTGTGCTGCTGTGTCTGTACAGCAACATGACAATAAACTGGATGTTTGTTGTGCAGGAGACGACATCTGCACAGAAAATAAGAAATAATGCAGAATGATTTTGACTTTGATGACCTGTTTTAGTGTGAGGTGGCTGGGAGCTTTCTGATTTGGTGGTAAAGGCCTCTGGATGGCACTCACATCTGGCTTTGCTCTTATTATACTGGTGCTGATTGAAATGGTTTAATGGACTGAACCTGTTGCCCTGTGTGGTGATAACAGCTGCAGACAAAGTACCGCTTTCTGGGCGACGTTATCTTTTCTGGAGCTGAAATATTCCCATACAGTTTACAAAATGATAACCACGATCATTTTGGTTAATATCAAGATCATGATCAGCCTGTTTATCACAGACAGTCATTATGTTTAGCTTCTGCTCCTACTCCTTCCTGCTGATGTACAAATCTGCATTAAGATACACATGAAATAATCTGAAGTCAGTGCATCTACTAGAGGCAAAGTGTAAATCCAATTGTACCTCAGAAATGTGCATGCTGAACATCTGCTTATTAATTGATAATACAGTTTACAGATCCCCCCTAAACGCCTCACATGCAGGGGTGGAAGCTAACCAGGTAGCTGCAGCAGTGTGCACAGAGAAGCCTCTAGTCTCCACTGCAGCAGAGCAGGTTTTTGCTAATATGGTGTGTCTCACCTCATCTGCAGCTTGAGATTTTACACATCCAAGTCTTATTTGGGAGAACTACATGAATGTATAACTCCTTGTGTGACGCCAGAGGGAGCTGCATAGAATCTGATCAACATCCTCAGGTACGGTTAGTCGAGTCAGTTGGGCTGTCTGAGTCTGAGTACGTCTGAAAGTCTGAAAACGAAAAAGAAATCTGGGGCTGTGGAGTTTAGAAGCAGTGAGCTTAAGCATCTGTAGGCTGCTGCTCACCGCAGCTCGAGGCTACCAGACTTCATCTCCAACACAGCAGAACGTACAAACAAACGTGTGCTCAGCTGCACTGTGGACGATGCACACGTCTGGTGTCGGGAGGGAAAACATGCATGAAATAAAAGCGATGTGTTTAAGCTGTGTGCGGTAATATCTGTCAAACTGGAAGCCACTGGTGTCTCACTGGGTGACCAAGACACTCCCAGTCTCTTTATGGCTTTTGTGAAGAACATACTGAAGATAATCCTCCCTATAAATACTGTCTGACTGTCTGAACCAAATGTCTTCACTGGCTGATCAAAGTCATGTTACAGCTTGGTAACTACATCCAGCCTTTTCCCTTTACTTCTGCTCATGAAGCACATAAATGCAGCTGCAGTCCAAGTTATTCAAGCCCTTAACCTGCACGACATTCAAATCACATCCTCGTGATGTGTGTGAATACGTTTCAGTAAAAGCATGTCAAGTGAAGCCTTGGCAAAGCACCAAGAAGTTAATGGTGTGTGCTGAGGGATGTTTAACGTACTAGTAGTACTAATAGCAATATTAGTCAAAGCCCAACGGCAATGTTTAATACTGCTTAATGCTGCTTTCTTTAAATCCCACTAAAGATTTTTAATAGAATTCAAATCCTGTCACTGAAATGACCACTCAAGGACACTCCAGGAGCATTTCCTTCAGGCAGAGCGTGAGCTGACGTCCCACGCAAACTTTTCTTACAAGTCGACTCTGATGCATTTTGGTAAAGAACAAAGTGTGATGATGTTTCTGGGTGTTGTTTGTGTCGTGCTCTTTTTGCTTTGCTGTCGTATTATGAGGTTTAATCACGTATACGATGCTGAATCTAGGTGTGTGTGTGTGTGTGTGTGTGTGTGCAGGCATTTGAAGTGTGCGTCCCGGTCGGCGGTGGGCGTGGCAGCTCCAGGAAAATCACCTACACCAACCCGTACTCCAGCAGCCGCACATTCCTGCTGCGCTCCGACCATCCGGACCTGCTGCAGTTCAAAGAGGATAAATTCCAGGTGGGATGAGACAGAGAGCCATAAGGTTCCCTCACTCTGTTAAGAGCAAAATCAATACTTTGATTAATGCCTTGACAAAAGCCTGCCAGGTAGTTTCCTTGAATTAAGGGCAGCTACGGCGTTAACACTGTGTAAATAATGTCATTAGTTTTCACAGAAAGTGCTGCTGACCAACAGATAAAACAGAAGCATGACGTCTGCGCACATAAAGGGCAAATAAAACGTCAGCTGTTCTGCTGCCTGTGTAGGCAACGGTACCGACTAAAATAGAAGTGTTCCTGTAGACAGACAACGGAAAAATAAGGCTGAAGTGCTTCCTGTGCAGACGAACCTCTAACGGCTCCATATTGTGGCCCTTTTCAGCACATTAATGAAAGTCTCACTTTCCCAGGATGTGCTTTTGTCTCATTTTCATTTGAAAACACTGTGAAGGTGCTTCAGGTTCACGCCGCTGTAGAGCCACGGCTTGGTCCACACAGTGATGGTGGTCTTTGTTTCACTGCCCATCTCTTACTTGTGTTGTTGTCTAACAGCAGAAACAGAAAAATATATCAATGAGAGCTGTTCTAGTGTGAACTCAGCTGTATGACTGTACAGCATGTAGGAGAGCAGAGACAGTAAACAGCAGCTGGTTTAGGTTCCACGACCAGGAACACATCCAGTCCTTGTGTTCTGGGTTCACATCAGTGTTTAAGTTTCCAGCCTCTTTAACCCGTTCAACACTACAGCCCGCTGTACCGGTCTGCTGCCTTCAGCCCGTCCATCCTGCAGCCTGGTACAGCGGCGCCGGTACACGGAGACTTTCTGTTAAAGTCATTCTGATTGGCTATCAGTGGGAATCCCCGCATGGGAACAAGAGATTCAGTCATTAAGTAAAATATGCAAATAATAATAATAATAATAATAATAATAATAATAATAATAATAATAATAATTGCATACGGGGTCTCTTCATAACACAGTAACGGCCGATTATGCTGCTGCCTGAAAAAATTACTCAGCAAATTGGGCCGATACGCTGTTTGTGAGGGTACGTAACGAGACAATATCTAACAACAAGTGCCGATGGAGTTTCTCTACTGTTGTCTTTGCTGCTAGAGCTGCTATTCACCGCTAACCGTTAGCAGCATTCGCTAAGACCCCGCCCCCCCAACGGTACACTGTAAAGGAATCCTGGCATATAGGCATAATAATATAGCCAAAGTTACTTAGTGTTGAAGGGGTTAAACTTGTTGTAAATATGTGCTATACAAATAAAATTGAATTGAATTGAATTGAATGTCCCTCAGATTTACAATTTAAAAGCTCTTATCTGCGGTCATAATAATGCTAACGCTAGCCACATTAGCCACACAGCGGGCAGAGGAATGACAGAAGTTTATATTCTCACAGCTTTATTTCACATCCCCCAATTTTTAAAACAAAACAAGAAAAGCAGATGTTCACCTTGTGGACGGTTCTGGTGGCGACACAGATACGTCAACACGGTGGCATCACGGTGGACATGATGTTGGATTTTTCATTAGCTCTGCTGAGATCTTCGGCTGAATCAGCCGTCCTGCTCTCCCAGCCAGAATGAATCGGCCACGCTGCATCACGCCCATGCACCAGACGGACACGGTGAAACCTGGAGGGAAGGTTTTGACCAACATGCTTCGACCACAGTAGCTCAGCCCTCTCAGACTCCAACAAAGATCCTTTGTTGTTAACTACAGATATGAAGGAATGTCTTCTCATCCTGACAGCTGAGGAACATCAGGGCTCTCTGGCCTCTGCTGTGACGAGTGAACGGCTCCTAGTTTGCCTTCAGAACAGAATTGGGGGGATTGGGGGGATATAAGCAGGTCATTATTGCTGCTGTTTTATTGTTATGGTCAGCCTGAGTGTCTCTAATAGTTGATTAATTCACTCTCAGACATGAAACCGCTGCTGTCGCTGCCGTCCGTTTACTGAGCTACAATGAAACGGCAAAACAAACGAGGAGCCATCAATATAAACAGCAAATGAATGAATGAGATTCAACGGGAGCCTGTTTCCACATAAACTATTAAAGAGTCTCCCTGTTGTTGGCCAGAAGACGCTGCATTAATTAGACAGGAGGTGGGCAGAGTGAGAAACAGCCCATTGTTTTTTCCATCTTGTCAGTGAGGCTCCAGGTGTCTTATAAAGAATTTACTGTGCCCGCAGCATTAAGCAAATGTGGAGGCACTTTTCTCTCTTTTGACATAACTACCTGGCCATGATAAAACCAGCTGTCAGGAGGAAAAGCGGAGCACAGATCAATACCGCTATGCTTTTGGGGAAGATTACAGCATAAATCCCCCAAATTGACCCATACATCTGTTGCTGGCTATTATAGGAAATGCAAGGGGACGGTTCTGCTTTGATTGGAAAACTGGGAAAACGGAAAAAAAATGACCAAATAAAAGCTTTTCACGCCATGAACCCTGACAAAAAAAGCATTACAGCATTAAGCATCGTCACCCTTTAATTAGAAAAGTAAAATAATCTAAACGGCGCTCTGCGTGGAGAAATGATCATTTAGGCAACAAAACAAAGAATGAAATACAAGGTTAGAAAAATGAGGAACAAAAGCTGTTTAGTGTTTCCTTGTGCAATAATTAGTTTTATTCAGACAACCCGTCTGAATGCAGACAGGGTGACACCTCACAGCAGCACTGTGTGGAGAAGCTTCACACTCAGGACGCTGCCAGAAAGGTTTATTTTCTACACAAATTAGTCTAATGACAGCAAATCTCCGGCCTGCACCGAGGACACGGAAACAAATACAGTTTGTTATGAGTTGTGTGTTCAGGGAGGACGTCGCTGAGCAGACTCACAACAAGAAGAAACGCTGTCATCCAAAACTCTGATGAATATTTCCTTTGGAAGAAAACATTCTCACATCATCT